GGAAAAGCGCCAGCACCACGTACAGGCAATGCACATGCTTGGTCCCTACGTCCGTTTCCAGTATCCTTGCCCTCATCATCCTCACCTCTTTGTCGTTCAGCATGCTGAGCGAGGGCACTTTGTGCTGCAATAACACCTCGGCAGGGTCGTCGACGGCGTCCTCTACCTCCATGACATTATGGCCAGCAGCGGCCATGATAGGATTATAAAGTACTGAAGGTATAACAGAGGATCAAGCACGGCCCAAATCCGATCGGACTGGCCTTTACGCTCTCCCAGGCTGAAGCCGGGCAGAGTGCTGCAGCAGCCCTCGACAGAGATGGAAACCTTTTTCTGTAAAGGTGCAGATTCCTTCCCACCAAGGCACACCCGTGCACTGTACAAGTATGTTTGTTGTTTCGGGGTGAGAAATGAGTTTGGAGGGGAATTCTGCCTTTCGTGTGTTTTTTGGGGTCATTCAGGAAGGCGGCATAATCAGGTGGTGCCTGTGTGTGATAGCAGGTTGAGGATGGCTGAAACTACCAGAAAATGCCAGACCCAAAACTCGAAGTATCTCATTTTCCACCCAGTGTTCGTGTCAACAACCTAAAATTTCATGCACACGCACACTACGTGGCGTGAAGGAGCTAAAATGGCTTTTTTTTGCGGCAGGATTTGTGGGTAGGGCTCCCAGGAAGGCTTGATATCATCTAGCCGTTGGGAAGCGTTGCTTGTTGCCGTCGAGGGAAGGCACCTTCAGCGCATAAATACAGGGCGCACATGCAGCGAGAAGGGACACAGAGCCGGAAATGAACTATCTGCATGTCACGAAAGATGGTGGTGGTGGTAACAGGATTGTGTTTGGGTGGGATGCTATGTCTTTGAGCGTTACATGAAAATAGAAGTCTTTTTCTGACTTCCTGAGTGGTCGCCTCTCACCGTAGCGATTACGACCCCCGCAGTCGCAGACATAGTACCACTGTGTGCTTTTTAGGAAGAAGGTATATTCGTGCTTTCACGCTTGACGTCTCGATTTGTGGCAGAGGGTCTTACCTCTGCCAGCATCCACGTGCACTCCTTCGACGCAACTGGGAATTACGCTTCCCACAAAGCGGAACATTGTGTGCTCAAAAGTCTCTTGACACGTTGTGAATCTCATTAGGCCCGTGTCATGTGCGCGGGTGTGGACACCAGGTACAAGAGAAACTGTTGCAGAGATGTGCATGACCTGTGTGGCCCCCTTCAGGATGGAAGTACCTCTGTGGGGCTCAATGTGGCAGCATTCATGCAACCACATGTTGTGCTGTCTTGTCAAAGCTTGACTCTCCAGGTCTTTCATCCCGTGGAGGAGTGAGGCTTTCCGGGCGAGGGTGCACGTCAGGGTGGAACCTTCCTATCCGACCCGTTGTGTGTCTTCGTCATCATTGCCACCCTCCTCTTTTACTTGGACGCGTTGATCTCATGCAGTGACCCGCCACTCCTCAACATTACAGGCATCTTTGTGGTGGCATTGTCCGCTTCTGCTCTCATTCTGTGCCCCCGCAGCTTGTCTCGCAGGACCACCTCCCACTCTAACATCTAACCCTCGATTGACACAGACGG